CATACATTATGAATGCAGCCTAACATACTTGTAAAATGAAACACAACTTTTGTTGTTTTTTGTTACATTAGGATAAGATGCAGAAAAGAAAGAAAAAAGCATGCATTATTATATCATCTTTCCACATGACTCAAAATCCACTGAGATAAAAATGACAATGAATCAGTGATCATATTAGTTGATCTAACGAGAGAAACTAATGAAGAATGCAGAACACAAGAAAAAAATCAAAAAAAATCAAAAACACCTTTCTGCTATATACATCTTCTGTAATTCTGTCAGGTGAAACTGCTGTAACAATATGGCAGCTGTTATGTGTTGGACTGTTATGTACTGTTTTATTTCAAAATTGTTATTTCAGGAGCCACAATTTAGGGAAATCATTTGACCACTTTTTAAACTCATCAATCATCATTGCTTTGGTGGTTGCTATGGAGAATGCTGAAATAGGTATTATGACGAAAAACTACTTCTCACAGCCAAACAGACTGCTGATATTTCTTAGGTTTAATATGTTGTGAATAGCAGTTATTTTATAACATTATGTACACCTTTTCCAAACAAATGTGGTGGTCGATATTCAAGTCTAAACATGTCTAGACACCACCATAAATGAAAAGTTATTATTGCACAAGATAGCAAATTCGTTTTCAATACTTCATCCTATACGTTAACTTTGAATAAAGAATATTTTAATAAACTAAATTTCAAGCTGAATACCATAGCAGTTTTTCAACCAAGTCTTTTGCACAAAAATTTTCCAAAGAGTAAGACTTAGCTAAGCAAAATAGGTATGAATAATTGAGTTAATCGCATTGAAATAAAAAAGAATCAAAGGTAATTCATGAGGAAGATTTAATAAAACATATTGACTGTCTACGTGTAGGTTTTTCGTGGCTAACGCCTCTCTTCAACAGGATTACATAATCGCAAAACACTTTCGTAAGAGAGATACAATTTCACTCTGATGCATATTAACTACAGCCTTTTTCTTTATACCGAGTCCCCAAAATTACTAAAAAGAAAGCCTTTCTGACTCCTTTTTCGACTTTTTTATCGTTATTCAGTAGCCTTCAAGAGCAAAGAGCTGTATTAAGTACTGTATTAACTCAGCTTATTTAATTAATTSCAAGTACTTGGTCGAATTTAACTCACGACATTTGTCGATGTGTCTTGGCAAAACACTGTACGTTAGACGCTTGACACCTTTATTCAGCTTTACAATGTATACTAACGTATTTTTAGCGCTTTGATTTTACCCTTACAGTAAGCTATAAGCGATAAAGAAGGCAGTAAACACCTACCTGGAAAAGCGTCAACCGAAGAACAAACACTGACAAGAAACAATGGTGTCTACGTTTCTCCAGCTTGAAACGACAACGATAGACTGGGCCGAGTAATATTCATAACCTTTATACCCTAGTCTTTGTCACATGACAGGGTTAAAAATAGATAAAGAATTGCGAAAGTCATAGTGCGGAAGTTACTCAGCAAGTTTAATGGGAAAAGGAAGTTCTTTTTAGCSTTGTCTCGTGGGAAATTGTTGCGGGCTTCCTGTGGAAAGGGAATTGCTAAAATTGTTACAAATAACCAAAATTTTCTAAAAGTTCAAAAATAATTTGAAGCAAATAGTGTTAAGATATTTTTTAAGCGAAAATGTTTCTGGTCATCTTTCTGTAATTTGAGAATTCATTCCACATTTATTTTTTTTAGAATGACTATGCATGGAAGCTTCTAGGAATGCCATATGATGATGCAATATGCTATATTTAGAATAGCGAGATACTTGGATTTCTTCGCTGCTCATGCAGAAGAAAGAGACTCCCTAATGGAGTTCTGAAAATGAGCTGCAAATATTATCTTGTGAAAGAAACTTCATATACCTTACATAGTTTTTCTTGAAATTTATTGCAAACTCAACTCCAGGGGTTTTATTAAGTATTAAAATGATAGGATGTCAAGAACTGCTGGAAAGTCTAATTGAACATTTTATAATAAATTACCAAGCTATTAATGGTAGTTTAAGCTGGATAATTTTGCTCATTTACTAGATGGAGCATTCTCTGATTCCTGACGCAATAGCCTCACTTCTATGTATGCTCATTAAGGGTACCTATATGGGTTGAGTCTGTAAAAAGAGCTAGCTATTGAGAATGATGTCATGTCTATCCTTGAAAGTTTCATTCATGCATATCACATTAATCAAGTTTTACATCTTTCTGTCATTCTGCTTCTGATTTGAATTTCAAGGCTACACTGTTGATGCAGTATCTTAGTTCAGTAGGTGGAGGGCCATCATTGAATACATGGCCAAGATGACTGTCACACTGAAAAAGAAAACAGTTATCAGTACATTCGCTGAGATATGTCATGCATTTTTTAAGGTAAAAAGTAAGGTAAAACCTAAAAAGGATAGCCACCTCCTTGAAATCATTCTGGATCTGTCCAGGGATCCATCAGATCCAGTGGATCCAGGGGTTGTCAAAAGGGGCGACCAATCACCCCCCTTTTGCTCAAATTTCTCAGTATGTCGTTCATAACAGACACTCCCCTTTTCCTAGAATTCCTGATAAAACCTTAGTAATAGTCACCCCCTTCTAAAATTCCTGGATCTGCTTCTGCTGACACTGCTGCATTTACTTAGTATAGATATACACATACTTGTCTACAAAGAACTTCAATTCTGATCATCCCATGGCTTTTGTCAGTGATTTCCTTTACCACAGATTTGTCGTTGTCTCTCAAGGCATCATAAAATGAAGGCCAGCCAGAGCCAGAGTCAAATTTGGTCAAAGAGCTGCAAAGAAAAGCAAAAATTTCAAAAATCAAATAAACTTGACAAGGATTAATGTACATGTAGATTATATCTATCTAAGGGATAGGTGCCCTGGGGGAGGAAGAGATGTCCGTAAAAAGTTGCATCCCATGTAAAAAWTTTTTGCACTAAATATGTAATATTTTTTATGCAATTTAATTATTCACTTACCTAAACAAATCTGCCCCACAGCAAACACACTGATAGACACCTTTTCCTTGTGACGCATTGTACTCCCCAGACCATGGCTGTTGAAACAATCAATAATTCAACATTAGATTATCTATACAGTATAGTTACAGTTAAATAATATCCTGTTCGTAATTAAAAGTATTATATAATTGGGATAGTACGCATGCATGCACTGATTGGTCGAAAACTGATGCTATCTGTGCACGCAAAGTTTTACTAGATCCTGCGACCTTTCTTTTTGCGTAAATAAATTCAATACCAAAAATAAAATTAGAAACTATATAATAAAATGAATAAAATAGCTTTTTCCATGCTCCGTTCAGTAATAAAGCATGGAAAAAGCCATTTTATTTGTTAGTTATGACATGACATATTTCATGGTCTTTATTGATTTGTTTATAAATATGCATGGAAGTTGTCATAAAGGCTTTTAATATACATTTTCATTGTTTCAAATATGCAATATTTAAGAAATCTAGTACTGTCTTAATTATAACAGTATTTAGCAATAATGCAAGGACAGCCAATCAGGATCAGAGGGGCTAGTGGCTTTAGCCTTTCTACGTTTATCTCATATATGTGGTCTACTA